GCAGTGGCAATGAATGCGCCCCGCACATAAAAAAAAAGGGTCAGCCATAGGCGCCGAGCGATATTTATGCCCACAAATTAATTTTTGCTTTTAACTCCTGAAATAATGAAGTTAGACAAAAAATAGTTATTACAAAAATTGTTCATTTTTACAAGATGCACATTTTTTGTCTGAACAATTTTTTTGTATCTTCATTAGTTCAGCTAAAAAAGCATAAATAAACATTAAATTGTTTATAACTAATGAACTAACCATGGTAGAAAAAAATAACTAACATATTTGTAATTAGCAAGCAAAAATCTATAAAAAAAGCCAAAGTTATCTCGTCTACCTTTATTTTTAAAAAATTGCATACAGCTCTTATGGCTGGCCTATGGACTAATATGTTATTTTTTCGGTAGTGAAAAAAAAACAATTTTTTTCGGTTTCTCTCTCTAAAAATAATTTTATGCTTTTAATATCAAACAACATTTTTTTATTTCCAAAGTAAATAATTCTCACAATATCTCTTGAAAAATATTTCTATAATTCAAAAGTAAAGTAATTGAAGTGTCTCATTTCATTTATTTGCTTAATAATGTGTTATTTTAATATATCATATAAATATGGTTAATTGATATTACTCGATTAATTTATTTGAATGAAAATTGCTATTTTAATTTCATAAATTTTGTTTAAAATTTACCTGAAGTTTGACAAATTTGAAACATAAAAAATCATCTTATTAAAACGTATAAAATGTCTTTTAGAATTCGGTTACCCAATTCACAAAATATTGTTGAATAAAATTTTCATCCACACACACACAAGTTATTATTATAAAATTTTAAACTCTAAATAAAACACTTTATGAGAACAAAACAAATGAAAATGTAATTTCAGGAAAAAATTTTTTAGAAATTTTTATTAAGTATAATTTGTCATGAAGCTTTATGTATCATAGATATTTTGTTGATTACTAAATTTTAATTAACTTCCTTTTCACTCATTGACAGCAGGCTTTTTGACAACTTTTATCGAGAAATTAAAGTTCAGACAAAAAGGAATTTAATTTCCGTTAATTAAAAATTTTTCATTAATTAAGCTCATAAAATCATCATAATAACTTCAAGCAATCTAAGATAAACAAAAAAAGAATTCCCAGATAGAAAATCATGATCGTCATGACATGATTGAAAGTCATGATTACAATTTTTTGTTAATTTGTATGCATTGTTATATATTAAAATATGTTCAAGCAAAATGTATACAAATTAAAGGCATATAATGAGTATAATTTCAGTTAAAATAATGCATACTTCAATTTTCTTACATATACTTCAAGGATACATCATGGAGTGTATTCATTTGATTTAATTAACATTCACAGTATTTTAAAATGCATATTTGATACATGTGATGATGCATAAATGAGTATTTCTCTGGTGAAAAAAAAAATTTGCATTTTCCTTTGAAAACTGTCATAAATGGTGGGGTCATTTTTTCAAAACACTATGGTGTATTTTCTTTGACGCATATTTGATACATCTGGTGATGAAGAAATGAATATTTTTTTGTCAACAACGAGGATACTCATTTTTGCTTCAAAATTGTTAAATGAAATGAATGCATTATATGTCAGCATTATTGAATGTTTCATTAGAAGCATATTTGGTTTATTTAATGATGAAAGAATGACTATTTTTTTGGAAATAACGAAAACACAGATTTTTACAACATTTTTACGAATAATAAAACTACGATCCAATTTTTAACATTAATTATCAGTAATTACTGATAGTTTTGTACATTGAAAATTGCATTTCATATCAACAGTAGAAAATGAGCATTTTTTTAATATGCATTGTATTACTTATACATTTAAATGCCTGTTTTGGGCACTTCCACATCAATTAACGGTGTATACAGCCTAAAGTTGATGACATAAACTCTGTTACCCAGCATGATTTCATTCTAAAAAATAAGTAATTGTATGGGTAATACGCGTTACCTCAATAGTATTTTAAAATATGCTATAAAAACTAGGACCAAGCAGAGTACTGCTCTAAGTAAAAATGAATTCTGCTCACTTTTATTTATTTATAAATAAACTATTATGTAAACTTAAAAAAACTATCCAATGCACTCTTTGTATGGCTGCATTGTACTTAAACATGTTTGAACATGCTGGATTTTACAATCGGTCTATTACAGGGAAATCCCAACCGTACGTCTGGCAACAAATTTTATTACTTTTCAAGGATTGATTCGTGCTCTTAGAGACTATGAACACGTGTTTCATTTTTTTTAACTGGATCCTTTAGGACAAATCTTATGTCTTGTATAGACATTTGTTTAAATATTCCCTTTCCACCAAATATTTAATATTTATCTGTTATTTTATTTCAACAAACCCTCAGTTTCGTCTTGTACTTGGAAGCGTTCTGTTCTTTAGAGTGTCAAAGTTCTCGGCAAGATTTTCATTATTCAAAAAGTGAATTTGTGATATTGATCGATTTACGGTATTTGTAATTAATAATATATACGTAATCAGTAATAATAAACATTCGTGTACATAACAATTTAATCCATCATCAAACAGTGAGTGAAACGGTTACTCTACGACAATTGAAGCTACAACTGACTAAGGATCATTGTCAAATTTAAGTAAGTATTATATTAGCAGTATTATTAATGAATATTAAATATTTCTCTACAATCTTTAAATCTACCATTCTAATTGTTATCTGCATAGAAAAAATTCAAATGTTTGAACATCGATAATTATTTATTAAGTACATTTGGAAATATAGAATTTTTTTACTATTCAATAAAATAAAAAATTATCTTCGGAATTACTGACTTAATTGAGCAAAAAAAAAAAAAATTTAAACATTACATAATATGATTATCAATGATTTCTCTATTTACAGAACAATGTTGCTATTTTTAAGTTTAATCGTTTTTGTACTGTCGTCAATTTTCATGATGAGAAATCGAATGTTTCGCAAACCACAAAACCAACTCACTGAAAGAACGAAACGACGTCATGTTTTGGAAGAACGAAGAAGAATACAAAATATGATATTAAAGAGTATCAAGCCCGCTGTAACTGGCCTCACTAAGCCCATTAAGAAGGAGGATGCAGTTGATAGTAAATTACATGATTGTGAATCAGTCTTTCAAGATAATACAGGAACATCTGCCTCACATGTTAATAATAATTTCTCCTACGACGATAGTAGCGAAGAAAATATTATAAACGAATTCGATACTTCCGAGGAATGTAGTGATTCCAATGAATCTATATCTCCAATTGATAGTGATTATGAAGAAATTACTGTTGAAAAAAACTCGTTTCAAGAGTTTAAATCGAAACTTATTTCAACGTTTCTTCATGCCAATATCAGTCATTCACAAGGTGATAAAATATTAACTACATTGCGAACTCATCCGTGTTTTGCTCCACTTCCAAAGTCAACAAAAACATTATTAAATACACCAAGGGAGTCACTAGAAACTATAAAAATGGGTTCTGGAGAATATTTACATATTGGTTTGAAGAATGAAATCTTCAAGAAATTATCAATCTTTGCAGATTCATTTCAAGGTGATTATGTATTATTAGATGTACATACTGATGGCATGTCAGTTCATCGCAGTGGTAACACTCAAATTTGGCCAATTCAATTTCGTATTTGTAATATTCTGAGAGATAAACCAGCAATTATTGGAGTTTACGTCGGCAAAAAAAAACCTGATAATTCTCTTCAATTGTTTGAATATTTAATTAAAGAATTCAATGATATTTGGAGATCAGGAGGAATACAATTCAAACAGAAAATGATACCAATTTATATAAGAACACTTATAGCTGATGCACCAGCTCGTGCACTAATGTTGAATCACCGTGGCCATAATTCTTCGAGCCCATGCTCAAAATGTAAAGTTATAGGTAAATCTTATGAACGCACAATGTATTTCTCTACAATTATAAATCAAAAAAGAACAGATCAAGAATATATCAATGCCATAGATAAAAAACATCATTTACCGCAAGGCGAATCTGCCTTGAAATATATAGGAGTGACTGCACTTACGAGTGTACCATTTGAGTACATGCATTTGATATGTTTGGGAGTTGTTAAAAAATTTTTATCGGCAATAATAGATAAAAAATATACTTTTGTTGGTCTTGATAAAGCCTCAGTGAAGTAAGTTTCATCGAGATTGAATATTATCGAATCATATTGTCCGTATGAATTTTCTAGACGTCCACGATTGCTGGAAGACTATCAACATTATAAAGCTACAGAATTTAGGCAACTATTATTGTACACAGGTCCAGTAATTTTTAAAGATTTTTTGGAAGGAGACGAATATTTACATTTCCTTTTGCTTCATTCAGCTTGCCGAGTATTATTGACGTCAAATCCCGATGAATCCAGCTTAGAATATGCTGAAACTGCCTTGAAAGTATATGTAGAATGTTGCCCAGAAATTTACGGGATTACCTATTTAACCTATAACGTACACGGACTATTACACGTCGTTGAAGATGTTAGGAAATTTGGAAATTTGAATTGTTATTCTGCATTTCCTTATGAAGATAACATGACGTTTTTCCGTAAATATTTAAGAAAACCAGCCTTATTGTTACAACAGCTATACAATCGCATGCAAGAAGGTGCAATTGCCACCAACAATCAATCAATCGATGAAAAGATTAAGCCATTACATCGCCATAAAAATGGACCTGTTCCAAGCAATTTAAGACACTTGGAGTTGGTACAATACAAAGGTTTTCGTTTTGACTATTTACGTTTCATGGCAAAAAATAATCGAGATGATTGTATTCTATTGAAGTCAGGAAAAATTTGCGAAATTCATAACATTATCCAAACAGTCGCAGACAATAAATATATTTTAGTTGTGAAGAAATTTATAGAAGTTAAAAATTACTACAGTATACCATATGGGATAGATTCATATTTTGCTGGAGTATATGAATGTAAAAATATTTGTAACAGATATGATGTCATTGATTTAACGCAATTGTTTGCAAAATGCTATAAAATGCCTTCCTGGAAAGGTCGAACACTGCAAGAAAATGAATATGTTGTCATGACATTATTATCGAATTATTGAAGTATGTAATAGTATAACGTAAGATATAATTAGTATTTTTCATAAAAATAGATATTTTAATTAAAAATTTGAAACTGCTTACAGGTTTGATAAAGTATGGATCAAGCATCAGGAAGCTCTGAAAATCACAGTTATCAATATGATTCGCACTATTCCAATGCTTATCAACATCCATCACCACCTAATACAACTCCATTGGTTCAGCTAACTCCTGCAACGACCTTTACGCATCCATATCATTCACAACAACCATATCCAGTTAATCAAGAATCAACTTATACCTATTTAACGCCGAAAACCAATACTACTGTTGAAAGAGACGTAATTGAAAAAAAGCTAGATGAAATTCGGTGAGTACACATCAAATATCACTGATCATCATATAATAAAGTTAATAAGAATGTAATAAAAAACATTTTCTTCATTAGGGAACACCAAGACATCGGTTTGAAAATTTTAAAAAATATGGAAGCAAAATTAATAGCTATTGAAAAGGCGAACAATCCTAGCATGGACGATTTTGAGCTACCTGATGGCTTCCCACTTCAATCAATGGATGATTTTAACCAATTTGAGGAGGATTCTGATAAAAAACGAGCAGAAACTCTTGTACGATTATACTTAGATTATTAATAACTTCATTGTAACACCATTGAAATTATTAAAATAAATGGAATAATCAGATTTTATCATTTTTTATTGCAGAGAGATTATCTTAAATTTGCTGGAGGACATGACCTTCGTGAGGCTCTACATAACTTTGTGAGAGCTGCAATGACAGAAGAACTTGCAGAAAAATTTACATGGACTGGTAAATCAGGACCAAATAGTTCGCCAAAAAAGAAATTTAAAGGAACAAAAATGATGAAAGTGTTTATGAGTAAGTATATTTGATGTATTATACCTGATTAATTATTATAATGATATTAACACTATAGTCATACTCGACTTTATTATTTATGACTGCTATTTTTAAAGAAAACATGATAATGTTACAGGTGCAGCAAAAAGAATTAAGAAAATTAAAACGTTCACTTTGAATGAATTCACTTCAAATTTCTCCGAGGTCCTACGATCTTATAAACAAATTTCGAAAGCTTTAAAGAAGAAGAGGGCAAACAGAGGCCAAAATGAGGAAGATTCATATTTATTGTCAGATGACGAAGATAATGAAGCAATGATGGATGAAAATTTAAACGAAAGAACATCGAAATTAAATCCCTGGCTACTCTGCATTTTGTATTAAGATTAATCTAATAATTATTAGTAAGAAAGTTTTTTTGTATTTCATATCCTCTAACATTATAATATAATTACATTTATATTTTTAAATAATCATGAAAGCATTTAATATATTTTAATGTTAATGATAATTATGTTTTATATTTGTATTATTTAATATTATTCAGGTGTTAAATAAAAAATGTAATAAATAATTTTACTGCATATATCTATCATACCGATTTCTCTAGTAGTGTCACATTTTGATCATTTGATGAAGTAATCATGATTTGAAAATAATTCTTATTTAGAGAAGTATATATGTGTACATATTTAACGCTTCAAATGTAATCATCGTATGCTGTGAATATGACGAAAATATGATTTAAAAATATTCGTCATTTACACAAGTATATTTGTAGGAGTATATGGTGTTTTTAAAACCATCACGGCATGCTTATAATATGAGGAAAATATGAGTCAAACATTTTTATCATCGTAATAGGCATACATGTAAGAATATTTAATTTTTGTAATGAAATCATATAACGCTGAAATTAAACTATCGATTTTTAGTACAAATTTTCTATGATTTACTTGATCTGATATTTTGACAATCTACACTCAATCATGTATGTCATCAGTTGCTTTCAATTTGGTCTAACTGAGGTACTCACAAAACGGTCATGATGAGTTCATATAAATAGTAAAAAATGGTATCAATTTGATTTAAATTTCATAGAGACTTGTCTATCTGGGTTAATAAACACAACAGCAGCAGTGCATTATCAGAATATATAACTGTAAAAATTCTTACAACTCGTCGGAATGGTGAGTTATATCTTCTTACGAATTTACGACTATTGAAATAAGGTGGGCGGGAAGACATTCCACGTTAGTTGACTATCCTAGAACATATAACATCCATTGTGAATTTTCCTAGCCTTCTGCGTTGCTGATTTTACCTTTTTAGAACTATAAATCTAAAAACGACAGTCATCGATATTCGAAGCACGAGCTTGGAGAAAAACGAATGGGTTCTCTAAGGCGGTGAAGAGAAGGAAAACAATCGCTCGAAGCAACTTGAAAGATAGAAAAGAATAGTACTTTCCTTTTTCTTCTTTTAAATTGAATTCTGAGATTAAGAGTAATAAAAGAATCTAGTGTCAAAGAATTATAACAATAATAAAAAAAAAAATAAGATCTTTCTCAACTTTTTACGATTTTTAAATCTTTGAACTCATCTCATTGCAATTTCGACAAGTTGAAATCATCTAGTCCACCTGGCGCAGAGCCAATTGATTTTGAATCCTACTCAATTGTGATAATAACGTATGGGTAATAGCGGTTAACTTTGTTCAAACTGATCTAATTCAAACGATTCAATCATTTGTGGTTTGTGTAATTGTAAAAAATGCGTTTCAGATATTTTGTTTTTTCTCCACAGAATATTATATTTCAAGAGAATTGTATTTGTAGAGTATTTACATAACCCACTAAATTTACCAAGCTGTTCGTTTTGTTATGCGCCGAAGATTTGGCTGAATTTTTTTAATTCAACCTGTTGTATTCAATTAATTCAGCACGTAGAGGTCAGTGCGTTGGATTGCATTCGAGATGGAACCTTCTTGCCTCTGAGAATATAAAAGTAAGATCAAACAAGCTTGTAAGCATCTAGACAACGATGTACCCTCGAGTGGATAGTTATACCCTTATTGTGCTCTAGACACTGCAACTAAGAGATAGATCGAGCAGTAGAGTGAGGAAGGAGGTAAGAATCAAGAAGAAATTGAGGCATACTCAAGAATACCTGACGTAGTGCATAACATCAAGTCTCTTGGAAGATAGTCTTTTTACCACTTTACATTGACTATCCCTAGAACTTTATATTCGGCTACTATCCGCCTCTAGACACCGTTGAGTTCGCATTACGCCAAGCTCATTAAAGTCGACTATTCAAGACTTTTAGTGGAGGATAAGAAAGTCAAGACTTTTTTTGTTGCGTTCAAAGAAATAATCGTTAGTTACCCTTCATGGTAAGATGAAAACAACAAAAGATTTTATAGCCAGAAAATTAACAAAAATTATAAATAAAAAAGAAATACTGTTAGTCTTGTATAACAAAGTATTTCATGAAAATAATGTACTTGAGATTATCTCAAAAAATGATTATTATTCGTTTTGTCTTGTAAAACAATGTTTGCCAGCCTCCTGAGAATTTCAAGCAAATTGAAGTAAGGTGATTCTTACTGTAGTTTCTTTTACAATTTTTTCTTTTTTGAATGTTGGCAAAAGAATATGTTTGCCGCTTTGTCATTAACGTGGTTGTTAATGCTGAATACGTGACTAAGCCTTGGCCTCTTTCCTTTGAATATCTACACAGTTGCCGCACATACACGTGTCACTAATGACAACACACTAATGACAAGTCATTTCCTAATTATTAGTTTAATATCATTTTTATTACCAAGTGATTGATGATTTTGTATCAAAGTTATATAGCTCTACTTTTGATGTTTCTTTATGAAATCACATTAAACCAGTTTTTTTTTCATGGTCATTCATGAAATGAAAATTAATTAACTATGTATTATGTTAACAGAATGTTGATAAAGTTAGTAAATTGATGGAAATTCATGTAAAAATAAGTGGAAATTTATGAAAATAATAAAAATATGTGAGTGATGTCAACTTGGACTTGTCATAAAACTGAGTCGAGGAGAACCATTTTCTTCATTATCTCAAAACTGCATAATTTCCGGTAGCCCAGTGGGGTGCACTTCTTCATTTTACTTCATATATCTTTCCTTGTTTTCTGCATGAAATAAGGAAAGTGGGTTGAAGAGTAAAATTTGCAGGAGGTGGAAACTACGAGACGAGTTGTTAATTATCTACTACAGGAAGTATCTTCACTTCGAACGGACAGTTGTGGGTGCTTGCTGTTGAAACCTATTACAGACTTTTTTAGCTTGTTTTAGAACTTATCTTTTTTTCATTGTTTCATCAGACTCATTTCACCTTTCCAGAGGTTTACTAACGAGATAAAAATTTAATTCTTAATCATTTTTTTTACCTGAGAAATGAACTGAAAAATACAACAAAAATTTATTCTTAATTGCATAACTGAAAATGGTTGTATTATATAGAATGTGACAGACAAAACTGTAAATGCTGATTTAATTTTTCTTTCATGAAGTTATATTATATTAAAGACCTTTTTCGTTGTCTTGGAAAAAAAAATTTAATGCAATGTTTATTCTTAATTTTCCGCCTCTGTGAAAGCTGAAGATATTATAATAGATTTCGTTATCAAAAACCTTTTTTCGATACATAGTGAAATAGCTTGAAGTTAATAAGACATTAAGCTCAATCAATTAAACTTCTTCTGATGATTGAAAAAAACTTCATTGTTTTTCGAAGAAACATTTTTCCTTTTTGTAGTTAGAAACAAGCAAATGGTTTAATTCTTTTAATTTATCAGTAATGATCTACTTTAAAATTCTTATAGTACCTTGAATTTTAAATCGAAGTTACTTAATTAACTCTAAACATCAGCAAATCGATCGATGGACTATTTTATCTTGTAACAGGACAATAAAAAAATTTCCATAAAAAAAATATTCTGTATTGCAAATTTTATAATAAAGTGATAATCTTTTTCTGGAATAGCTTTTTGTTATTTTTCTAAGCACAGTGCATTTACCTAGCAGCTCTTCAAACACGTATGATAAAGTTTACACAAATATTATTCCAAGAAATTCAATATTCTAAAATATTTAATTATAACATAAATCAAATTTTTGATAAATATAAATTGTGATTCATTGAAATTTTTCTACAGAATTTTACTCAAAGACAGTTATAAAACATTTTCTTCATATTAATATTTTAATAAACCATAAGTAAGACATGAATAGGATCATGCTATCTTTTGTTACTGATAAATTTATTTTTAAAAACATAAAGCTACAACCATGATACAGATTTTTTTTACTAATATCCAAAGCTTGTTATAACTCTGTTAGCTATAAATCCAGATTATCAAACTCGTAAAATGTTTAATATTCAAAACAAAACCATGGAAAGAGATAATTTACCACAGACATGATACACTGTAGCACAGAATTTTTATGACTTCTTGGCAAAGATTCAATAATGATTTTACGCTGTTAATAAGTAGTTCAGGTGTTGAATTAAATAAAAATGAAAAAGTAAATAATTTTTATTTCTATTAAATTCCTATATTTCTGTTATAAAATATAATAAGTTGATCTATCTTAAATGGGATTATTACTAAACTTTTCATTGATAGCGCTGAATTTAAAACTTAGTTCTTTCATTTCCTGTTTCGAATAAATCTAGTATAAAGTGACGTGGTATCTCTGTCTTCATTCCACGCGGTATTATCAAATATTTAAACTTCTTCGATCTTGTTAAAAAATTGAATAGCTCTTGAGAAACTCCAATTCATGAAACCAAACTTCTGATAGAGTATGCTTAAGTATTTTAAATTGAAAAAAAAAAATAGGCAATTAATGCAAATTGTATGAAATCTTAATATTTTCTCACTACAACTTCTCTGCTGAGTGGATAACTTTCACTTGCAATTGTAATTATTCGTCTTATACAACTGGATTTGTTACAGTTTGTTATACTGTGTAATTGGTAGTTTGTTATATGATTGGTATTCACTAGTGGCTAGTTTAATTATTTTTTTTCAAAATTGAAAGTGTCACGTTGGTGTAAATATCACTTTTGTTTTCTGACCATGTTTTAAAATTTAACTCTTCGATGACAGATTTATAGGAATATTTATAGCCAATAGATCGATGCCAACAAAATATAAATTCTTCTTTCGATATATCAGTTAAACTTTTGCCACCGACACCGAAATTAATTTTATGGGTCTATGATTCCACATCTATCTCTTTGAAATTTGCACTTTTGCCAATAAATGTATACCACAAATTGCCCACCAATTTGATCCTCCAGCATTTAACAGTTGGTTTTTTATCGGTACAAATTTTTGTGGTAATCAATTCTTTTGTTGA